AGGTTAAGTATGATATTTTCTTTTTCCTTTTCTTTTTTTTCGTGTTTCTTTTTCTTTTTTTTTCCTACTGTAAATTTTATTATTAATAACCCTGTATTCTGCTCTGGGAAGGGAGGGGGGTTGGGGGTGGGAGGGTGGAAGAGTGGGGGGGTAAGGGTAATATAGATAATGGTAGTTCCTGGGCAGTTCCCCTCTGCTGCGTTCATGGGCTTGATAGGGATGAGAGGAGTAGAAGGTGTAGAGAGGAAGTAGGACGGTAAGAGGTGAGGGGGAGGGGAAGAGAGTAGGAGGGGAGGAGAGAAAGAGGAGGGAAGTAGGGAAGGTTCTATGAGAGGGTGGACACAGCCTGGGGGGAATGGGCAGGCGGTACCAATGGTTATGAATTTATTTTATTCTAAAATTGTATTTTTCATGATGTATAAATGGAAAAAATAAAAAACTTTTAATAAAAAAAAGATAGAAAAATGTGGGTTAGACAGCATCACCATCAGATGGATTCATAGTTGGCTGACCAGCCGTTCTCAGCGTGTGGTTTTCAACAGAACAGCATCTACATGGAGGGAAGTGTGTAATGGGGTGCCCCAGGGGTCTGTTCTAGGCCCAGTGCTCTTCAACATATTCATCAAGGATTTGGACAAGGGGATAGATGGGAAACTCATCAAATTTGCAGATGACACCAAGCTGGCAGGAATAGCCAACACTCCAGAAGATAGGCTTAAAATACAGGAAGATCTGGACAGACTTGAACACTGGGTGCTATTTAACAAAATGAAATTCAATGGTGAAAAAAGTAAGGTTCCACATTTAGCAAGAAAAACCAAATGTACAGGTATAGTATAGGGGGCACCTTGCTCAATAGTAGTAACTGTGAGAGGGATTTCCGAGTCCTAGTGGACAATCACTTAAATATGAGCCAGCAGTGTGCTGCAGCTGTCAAAAAAGCCAACACAGTGCTAGGCTGCATTAACAGAGGGATAGAATTAAGATCACGTGAAGTATTAATACCACTTTTGTCATTTTGTCTACCTATCGAGTCCTTAACAAAGACCTGGGATAGGCAGAAGTGGATGTTTGATGTTATTACAGATATCATCACAGGATGGAAGCGGTTCCTAATAAGGCTGCCTTTTGCAATCGACTAATGGCGAATTTGTCAATGCCAATGGTGTTCAAGTGGTGTTCTAGTTGTTTTGGGATTGCACCCAAGGCACCTATTACTATTGGTACTACCCTTGCTTGCTTTTGCCACAGTCTTTCTATTTCTATTTGTATTTTGTTATCTTCTCCGGTTCTTTCTCATCTATTCTGCTGTCTCCAGGCACTGCCACGTCCACTATCCAGACTTTTTTGTTTTTCTTATCGACAATTGTTAAGTCCGGGGTGTTATGTTGCAGGTGCTTGTCTGTTTGAATTCTGAAGTCCTAGAGCAGTTTAATTTTATCATTTTCTATGATTTTCTCTATTTTATGATCCCACCAGTTCTTGCTTACAGGCAAATCATATTTCTTGCAGATCTTCCAATGTACCATTGTTGCTACTTTGTCACACCACTGCTTGTAGTCAGTCTGTGCGATCTTCTTGCAGCAGCTTACCAGGTGGTCGACTGTATCTTCAGCATCTTTGCATAGGCGGCACTTACAGTCTGTTGGTGTCTTCTCAATTTTGACTTTATATGCATTTGTCCTTAAGGCTTGATCTTGTGCAGCCAGAATTAGTCCCTCGGTCTCTTTCTTCAATTTTCCTGCTCTTAGCCATTGCCAGGTCTTGTTATTATCTCCTTTCCTAGCTATTTTTTTTTTTATGTATTAGCCATGTAGTGCTTTGTTTTCCCATGCCTCTACTGTGTTCTTCATTTAGTCTTTCTTGTAGGGCAGTTTGGTCTCTCCAGTAGTCAGTAAGCCTTCCTGATATACTAATTTCAGTGTATCTTCATCACTGTCCTTCAGATATTATTGCAAAGCCATTATTTCTTCTTCAATCATCTCATGTACTTTCAGCATTCCACACCCACCTATTTGCCTTGGTAGATAAAGTCTGTCAACGTCACTGCATGGATGAAGGGCATGATTCATTGTTGCTATTTTTCTGGTCTTCCTATCCATTGCTTTTAGTTCTGCTTGAGTCCAGTCCACTATTCCAGCTGTGTATCTAATGACTGGCATTGCCCAGGTGTTGATTGTCTGTATGGTATTTCCTGCATTGAGTTTGGACTTTAAGATCTTCAGTGTATTGATGTATTCACCTCTAATCTTTTTCTTGACCTCAGTGTGCTTGATATTGTCAGCTTGAAGGATGCCCAAGTATTTGTAGCAATCTTCCTCATCCAAACTCTTAAAGTTATTTTCATAGGGTATCTTGATTCTTTCAGTTTTCACTATTTTTCCTTGTTTGATAGTAAGTGTGGCACATTTGTCCAAGCCAAACTCCATTGCAATATCTTGGCTATATATACGGACAGTGTTGAGCAGCGATTCTATTTCAGATGATGTTTTTCCATACAGCTTCAGATCATCCATATAAAGGAGGTGGGATAGTCTGGCAGATGTTTTTGATATTTGATAGCCACGTTGTTGCTTTTGTTGTTGTTGTTGTTGATATTATTATTATTATTATTACTTCTCCCTCCAGCTTTCTATTTTAAACCTTACTGAAGTTTTATTCTGTTTATTTCAAAGGGCAATGTGAAGCCTCACATCAAATTGGTCCACTTTTCTGATGATTTTATGCATTAGAATGGAATTGAGGTGCTCTGTGTAATGAAATGGGAAAAGAAATTAAACACAGCTATAGAAAAAAAGAGGGCAGTATTGGTTCTGACTGATTCAATTGGCTTTGGAACAAGGATTTCTCTCTTGACTCTCATCATGCAGCATTTTGTGATGTATTCATATTTACATGTGAGCTAGTTTGAAATGTATAGATCTGTGGTCCTTTAATAATAAGTACACACAGATAAACTGATTGACTAATAGATTATGAGGCTCAGAAAGACCATCCTAACTACAAAGCAACCATGCATATCGTGTAGCTCTTGAAAGGCTTGTTTTTGACTCAGTTTTTTTATTGTTGTATTTTCGTGGTGCATGGTTAGCTTCATATGATCATAAGATATAATTGTATTCATTTGCAGTTGAGTCATTCCAATTTTGCTGCAGCAAATTGTCTGGTTCTGCTGTTGCAAGCCCCATTTTGAAGCTGATTTTGCTTTCAAATGTGGTGGGATAAATTCTGGCTGATTGGAGAGTTAAAAATAATATGGGGGGTCCTATAAAGCTGAAATCTGTCAACTATATTCCATAAAGTATTCCTAAGTTGCACATCTTATTCTTAAAAAAAAGTAGAGAAGGGAACTAGGGGATTAGCCATTTTGGATCTAATTTTCACTAACAGAGATGAAATGAAAGAAGGTGTTGAAGCCATAGGAACCCTGGGAGGAAGTGATCATGCAATATTAGAATTCAACATTATAGAAGCACAACCAATAGAACACAGTCAAACTAGAGTCTTGGACTTCAAGAGAGCTAATTTCAATAACCTTAGAGAGGGCTTGGGAAGGATTCCATGGATGAGAATCCTCAAGGGGAAAACAACTCAAGAAGCTTGGGAAATTTTGAAAAATGAGATAATAAAGGCCCAGTCTAGCACAATACCAACAAAGAGGAAAAATAACAGCTCTCAAAAGAAACCAGCATGGCTACATAAAGAACTCTCTGACAAATTGAAAGATAAAAAGGACAAGTATAGAAAGTGGAAAGAGGGGCAAATAACTAAGTCAGAATATCAACAAATAGCCTGAGCCTGAAAAGATGAAGTGAAGAAAGCTAAGGCTCAAAATGAACTAAGGTTTGCGACCAAAGTCAAAAATAACAAAAAAAGCTTCTTTCAACATGTAAAAAACAAGAAAAAAGTGAAGGAAATGATTGGTCCATGAGTGGGTGGAAGTGGCAAGAAGGTGACAAGCAACAGGGAGAAAGCAGAACTATTTAACTAGTTTTTTGCATCTGTCTTTACACAAAGGGAAAAAACAGACCAACCTATCAAAAATAGTGCCATAAAAAACAAAATAGAAACACAAGTTAAGATAGGCAAGAAAATGGTAAGTGAGCACCTGTCCAGCCTAGATGAGTTCAAATTGCCAAGACCAGATGGATTACACCCCAAGGTTCTCAAGAAACTGGCAGATGTGATATCGGAACCACTGAACTATATTTTTCAAAGATCCTGGAACACAGGGAAATTACCAGAGGACTGGAAAAGAGCTGATGTGGTTCCCATCCTCAAAAAAGGAAAAAAAATGATCCAGGAAATTACAGACCTATCAGCCTGACCTCAATACCTGGGAAGATCCTGGAAAAGATAATCAAACAACGAATCAACGAACACCTAGAGGAAAACAAAGTCATTACTAAAAGCCAACATGGGTTTGTCAAAAATAGATCATGCCAGACAAATTATTGATCTCAGCCGCATTCATTTTTTCTGAAGACTTACGGTTTAATAATAAAATAATTTCATATACTCAGAACACTATCTTATAACTTTAAGAAGAATGGTGTTCTGGGACAATTATTCAATGTAGACATGCTGTTAACATTCAGATTTTCCATACTTCTCAAAAAGATCAGAGTATTTGAATAGCTTTTATGGACTATGGTGGGACACGTCTCTTGGACATGTGAAGTCTGGATGTTAAAGGAAGTTTTAGTTCAGAACCACCAATGTGAATTTGTTCTAGGCAGCTACTGAAAACTAGCACAAACTCCAGAACACCAAAATAATCTAGTTTTGGCTTCTTTGATGTTAGGATATTGCAATCTTATTCAAATTCTTCTTCTGAAGTGTCTTAACTGGAATGCATATTGAATGTTTAAGGTTCTGAAGAGGTGCTATGTAATTACGAATTGAGATCAAAAGGAAAGCATCACAGGCAGCCTTTTCAGCTTGTTGCAATCCAGAAATAAGATACAGGAACAAAGATAACTACAAACTATTATACTTACTGCGTTTTTGTATAAAAAATACAACACCATGTTGGCAAGTCGGGAGTAACACCAGTGGCCATGCACAAGAAGGAGTTTCTCTAAATATCGGAATTTTGGAACTGCAAAGTCACTCGCCATCACAGCCTTCAATGCAAGAACAATTAAAAGTGACATTATTTATGGATGATGCTTTTTAAACTATAAAAATTACATTAAAATGTAGATGGCACAGCTATACATCTACTTATATCACTGGTGTAAAAATGATAGTGATTATAAAAAGAGAAAATGTCTTTAACTTGCTTATTAATGTTGTCTACAAAAGAAGGCTCATTCATAAGTGGGTATTTTTGTTAGGGCTGTACATGTTTAAAATGATATGGAAGAGATACATTGGACCTTGTTCCAGTCGATTTCCTCTCTACAATGCAAAAACAGTAGCCTGTTTTTAGCTTTCATGTGAGGAAAAAAAGTACAGCTGCTTTAAGATTATGAATAGACTTCTTAAAGAATAACATATTTTTTTAAAAAGATTGTGACTTCTGTATAAGCTTTCACTATTCATTCCTATTATGTATTAGCCATCTCAAATTTAGTTTTTGTCCTACATAGATCCTCTGTGAGTGAGATAGTCAGTTTCCTAATTTGATAGGTAAGTAAGTAAGTAAGTAAGTAAGTAAGTAAGAAAGTAAGTAAATAATGAAGTTTTTTCTGAAAAAAATCAAACAATTCTTTGGCATTTCTATTAAATTAATCAAGTGCATTTTCCCCTATAAATCTATTTCAGATCTTTAAGGGCAAGAGAGGGGGGGTATTTGAGTGCAAATGGACCAATTCATTATTATTTCATAGATTATGAAAGCAATAAATTATAGTCTGAGTGACAGTGACTTCTTAAAAAGAACTTTTATGGATGTCAAGACACTGTGTGTCCCTGAAGGTAAGGACAGTTTTGAGAAGACTTCTTTGAGATTTTTATATATAAGACACTCATATATTTAAAGAAAGATTGCAAGAGAGTATTTCTTAGGATGCAATTCTCCAGTCCAAAAAAGAATATCAATGGGTTTTAATTTCCAAATGTAAACATTCAATTCATTAATATAAAAAAATTGGACTATTTAAGGGGATAAAATAGCAGAATAAAAAACAGCCTAAAAAGCATGTCAAGATTAGTCAACTAAATATTCTGACCTAAAGAAATTTAGGGAGTTCAATCTCTATGGCTGAAGCTCATTTCACACTAGATGTTTGTAAATTATAGATTTTTGCTATTTTACATTTACACATGAGAATGTAATTTGTGAATATGAAAACAAGACTTGTTTACCCATTTCTGGATGTCATGGGCTAAAAATGACAAAACTGAATAGCTCTAACTTTCCCAAATTATAGAACATAAAAAACAGCCCATATGGATTAGGGTTGTGATCAATCTATTCCAGCATTCAGGAGTATCAAAGAGAGTCTGTCTCAGTCAGAAAGACAGGTCAAGAAGAGGACCAATTTAGAGTTGTTACAAGAGGGCAAGGTCTGACTCCTTTGAATCCCATTGAACCTTATCTAGTCTTTAACAGCAGCAAATTGCCAATATGAGAAGATTGCTGTGAAATAGGCCATCTACTACTAACAGTTTTATCTTCCATTAATCTTTCATATCCCCTTGTGGAATCTGTCCCTTATGGAATGAGAAAATCTAAGTATGTGTGTATAGAGCTTTTATTGTGATGCTATGATCCAAATTTTGTCATATGAGCATAATTATGGATATCTATGATATCTATAGTTATATATCATGTGCTGTCTAGTTTTTTTCTTAGCTATACAAATTAGTATTTCTTTTCCAGTTCTGTTGAGAGATACTTTTTACAAGAATCTAGAAAGGAATCTGGAGTTAAAGAAGAAAAATTTTTCAGTGTGCAAAAGCTCTCTTATTAGATAGATGAATGTAACTGATTGTACAAAAGAGATTGCTAAAAAAAAAACAGATCACTAGATAAATTAGTAGATTACTTTAATTTACCAAGTCTGTCTGATCAGTCATGAAGCAGAATGTAAGACCTCTGAAACTTGTAATGTCTGCTTCAATCAGCCTATTGCAGCTAACAAACAAGATGAGTACATTTAGGCATAGAGAAACCTATGGACTTAACTCTATCCTGCACTTGTCAGTAAACATAAATTACCTGCATGCCTTCTGGACCAGAAATCCCCACACCAATATCAGCCACTTGAATCATACTGACATCATTAGCCCCATCACCTGGTAACAAATGGAAAACACATTATTTGTCATTAACTGAAGTAGTGGTTATTAAGGACAGGTAACAGTACAAAGGATAATCAAGAGAATTGTGAGTGGGATAAGCTATTCATGAATGAAATGTCTGTATTTAGACTAACTATAATTTCAAAGCCTCATCTGTCCCATTTATAAAGATGGGATTTAAGCCAAATTAAATCATCTGAAAACAATTTATAGTCATTAAATGACATATAAAATACAGTTTGCACTTGTTCTTCATAGCAAAATTGTCATCCATTCAAAAGAAAGAATGAATGAACCAATAGCCCAAAAAGTAAATTTCTTGGAAACCTTATTTACATACAGTGATTGGGCAATTAGAAGTATTATGTGAAAAATCACTATTATATGTTCTAGATGCTGATAAGAAAGGTGATGCTGAATATTGCAAGTTTAGTTGGGATTTACTTTGAAGAAGTAGCAAGTTTAATTCTGGGAACAAAATAAACAGAGCCTGCAGAACAAATAGTTTTTGTTTGTATGTGTGCTTACAGTTAATGTTGTATCCAATTAGTGTTAAGAGAAAATGGATGCTGCTCACGATGTAGCTTATGCCTATGATTGTGGCCATAATGTTGAAGTCTAATTTCTAAGGCACAGGACTTTTAGGGTCATTCAGAACCCATATTAGCTGCCTCAGGATTCACGGGAAATAGATTGTCAGATCAGCTGTTCTGTCCTTTCTTGTTGTTCTAAAATGCTGATCATGACATTATAGTATTGTGTTATAAAAGTGCATATCTGCTAAACTCTTTAAGCTTTATTTGTTTATCATCATGGGAAAAGATGCATTTGATTTAAGGTGTTCTTGACAGAAACCATGCATATACTCAAATGTGCTATGAATCACATCTTGCTTTCTGAACCCAGATCTCTGCAGAGCTATAAACTCTATACCTACCCCCAAACAATTTTCCCTGTCTTTTTTTTTATCTGCAAAGGTCAGATTTGAAAGAGTGTTAGTTTCATTCAGATATCCATTTCTATTATTTTCAGATCCCTGCTTATAAAATGAAAATGCAATTTTTATTAATGGGTGTTGCTAATGACTGTTCTTGTATATTTGCTTCAAAGATTACAGAAAAAAAATCCAGGATATGATATATTCCACTTTAGTAATCCTTATTCTTAGGAATTTTAATCCAACATATTTAGAGGTATCACGATGGGAAGGCTGAATTAGATGACAATTACATATTTTTGTTGTTGTTAATTGCGAAGTCGTGTCCGACCCATCGCGGAATGATAAAATAGCAGATTCACTCATTGAAATGCAATGTTTTGAAATTTTCCTCTACTTGATTAGTTACAAGGGTATACAAACAGTAATCTGCATGACATGAGATGCTACAATTAGAAATCTACAAAGACTCCAAGATTCCAATGCAAAACACTTAGAAACTAAGATAAAGGAGTAAGAAGTTGACCATCTATTGAAGTTAAGCATCCATTCCCTTAAGCATCCACAAGTAGGAAGAGGGCGGGAGGGAGAGAAGAGGAAAGCAAAGAGAACAGCAACCCAGTGTCAGAATCCAATTATATTTCATCTCTAGTTATCAACTATAGAAAAACCCATTTCTGCCTTCTCTGGATTCTGTCATACAATGAAGGGAAGGGGGTGAACAAAGGGGCTTTATGGCCCTCACTTCCTTCAGTACACTTCAAAGGGACTGGATGTGAATATCACCAAAAGGACTAACCATAACAATGGGGCTATTACCTTTCATGTACTCTTCTCTGAAGTCTCCATCCAGCCGGCAGTAAGGAAAAGGGGGTGGGTGTGTAATGCCTGAGACTGTCACTGGAAGAAGGGGGTGATTGGGTGGGGCTACTGGTGAACCCCTTAAAACCTTGAATGGGAGAGCTTGGACCCCAAGTCCTGTCTAGAATGCCTGCAACCATTTTCTCTTAATAAAGAATGCCTGTTGGAAGAACTATTCCAAGAGTTCTGTCTTCTTAAGATGCAAAGTGGGGTGGGTCCTTACACCCAGCTCCCATTTTACTTCAGTGTTTTTATTGTGCATGCAAAGTCTTCTGTCTCTACCTGCACTGGAAGGAGGGAAGGAATTTAATTCAGGTCATAAAGTCCCTTCCTCACAACCAGCTGCATTTCAGTAATAGTCTGATAACTGACAATGTCTGGATTTAGCCTGGTACTGATTTCTTTAGCTAATGTTGAACCAGGAATGAAGCTTACATAAGTATTATCTTTGCACAAATTACACAGGCCTTCAAGAGACATTTAAGTAATATAATTTTTTTCTCTCGACAGCCATTTCCAAGTACAAGTGGTGTTAGCTGGGAAATACAGCATAGAGCTTATTAGCTATGATAAAAGATTTCACCTTTCAGTTGTATATGGTATCTTCCATTGAAAGAGAAATAGAGCACCAGCTTTTATTATAAAAAGGCTTTTTTATTATAAAAAGCATAAAGCAGCAGATAAATAAACTGTTGCTGATTAGGTTTGAGGCTTCAACACCTCTTGCTCTCATACTATCTGGTTTCTTCCTTCTGTAACTGCTTTCTACTGCTAATACAGATCCTGACTAGTCAGCAAATTAGCAAGCCCATACCTTCCATGACATATGATATTATATACTTCTATATAATACCAAAGGTTAATTTATATGAAGAGAAATGAGGATATTCACACCTCTAACCATAGTTTAGTGGTTAGAGGTGTGAATATCCTCATTTCTCTTCATATAAATTAAACTTTGGTATTATATAGAAGTATAATACCAAAGTTTAATTTATATGAAGAGAAATGAGGATATTCACACCTCTGACCACTAAACTATGGTGACCTCAGAACAAATCAGTCAATAGCTATAGAGGATTAAAATAGGGTAGTCCTATGCAATTTAATTTTCTCTATTTAATTTCACACATCTGTTATCATTTGATAACGGTCATTCCCCCTCGCAATTCAGAATTATGTGTCTCTCTGTCATTTTTTCCCTATCCCTTGACCATAGTAAACACACAACTTTTTCATGCTTTGCACATTTAAAATGGCTTTGAAATATAATTACATTCAAACTTCAGAAATCACATTAAAATACCTCAGACCTGCATCAGTGCAAAAACTTAGATATTAATATCTTTTTACAAATATATTTAAAAATCTAATCATGTAGGGTAGCCATTTACATGACCTAAAGAACAAAATACAAACAATATAAACATAAGACTTATGAATATATTGCCTTGAATAAAAATCAGGGCTCATGTCTGAATAAAAGGGAATCTTTGCACTGATGATTATGCAAACCGATGCTCATTAAGTCATGATACTTGCCTATGGCCAAAGTCATTGTCTTCAGTTTATCTCTGATCAGTTTGACAACCATCCCTTTTTGAATTGGAGTAGATCGGCAGCACAGCACACAGCGACACTTTCCGGCTAATGAAAGAAATTTGTCTTCCAGGCCTTTGTCCAGAGCATAAGCCAGGGTCCTCCCATCAATGACTAAACCCAGGTTGGGCTGGCTCAGTGATGATGACACAGAGAAGGGGGTAAATTCTCCTTTTGTTTTCTGAAGAAAGTTCTTTGTTGTTTCACTGTAAAATTTAGAATCTACCCAATTCAAGTGTTGTTCCAGCATTGCAGCACACATTTCCTAGTTAGAAAAACAATAAGGAAAGTAAAGTATACCAATAGCAATGATAGGATGGCTGAGGTACTGTTTTTAAAATTATGCTTTCATTTTGTTAAAGACATTGATGTGTTTATAAATTAGAATTAACTAACACAATTTCTGGCACAAAGAACAGCCGAACTACTTCTTTTTCTGTTAGTGGAAGTTCTTAAATAGTTTCACAAGTGGTATGTAGTGTGTGTGCATGTGTGACAGACAGACAGAAGGATAGATAGAATATTGACAAGATAATGGATTGAACATCATGATGCAAACTCTGCTCCTTTTAAGCACATGTGCAATGATGACACAGCCACAAAAAACAGATGGGGCTTGCACTATGGGGCTCTGTTTGCTAAGTTCTCCAATTTTAACACTCCTATCAAGAACAACTTTGTCATTCACCTCATGTTGGGGGTTGGGGAGTGCTGTCCTTGAGTCAGCTTCTTGACTCCTAGAAATTGCCTGGTCATATCTCTGCAGTTTTCTTAGCATGTTTTTCAAATGTAGGTTTGTTATGGCCTATTTCCTAGGTCTGAGAGAAACTGACTGGCCCAAGGTCATCCAGCTTCTGTTGTGCTTATGTACACAAAATACTTTAGGACTGCTTTTCCCAATCATATGTTCTCCAAATGTATTGAATAGCATGGCCATTAAATTGCTAAGTGAATTTGTGAAGAAATTTGATATGTTTGGAGGATACCAGATACGATGGCCACTTTAGCAGTTTTGTTTAAAATTAAAAAGAAAAAAGCAGTCTTTAGCACAATAATAGACAATGGCCACCCAATTCACAGCTGTATAACACCAAATATATTGATTATATCTGAACTAAACCTGCGTACCCTATCAAACTAAACTATATTAATTAAACCTAGCCTACCAGGCACATCTTACAGTCTAATGGATATTGAGCTACTTTTCTCTTTTCTCTTTTTTCTAAAGCAGACTAGGAAAAAAAAAGAATTATATCAATTCTCTCTCTGATGTCATACAATATATATTTGATTATACAGCTATAGCTGATTTGATGAGTCCGAGGATAACTGTTATGGTTCGGCTTCAGGCAACTTGAAGTAGATGGATAACTGTAGAGAGCCACGGAGATAGCCTTGAAGGAATATTCAGAAGCCATTACAGAAAGAACAAGGGCAGAACCATCCCTTAAGCCCTGAGAAAGGAGATGCTATTAGGAGGAAGCTCGAGTTGGCTCCTTCCTGACTCAATGGGGTATAAAAGGTGGGGAGGTAAAACACAAGCAGAGTCGCAATACAGGTAGTTCTCAACTTATGACCACAATTGAGCCCAAAATTTCCATTGCTAAGCAAGACAATTGTTAAACAATTTTTGTGCCCCATTTTAAAACTTTCTTGCCACAGTTGTTAAGTGAATCACTACAGTTGTTAATTTAATAACATGGTTGTTAAATGAATCTGGCTTCCCGATTGACTTTGCTTGTCAGAAAATTGCAAAAGGGGATCATATGGCCAATAGTTGTAAGTGTGAAAAATGATCATAAGTCACTTTTTCAGTGCTGTTATAACATTTCATTAAATGAATAATTGTAAGTCGAGGACAACTTATATTCTGTTCATTAAATCAATCTCAATAAATTATTTAGTCTTCCTGTTGAACTGGTTTTTTCATCTGATCTATCTCACAGAGTTCACCATAACATTCTGTATATTGCTTATGGTTCACCAGATTAGAATTGCATGATAATGTACTTTATGTCATCATACCACGGAATCAGCATTCAGAGTAATGATCTCTTCATCATGATCCAATAACTTGCAGGCATAAGCAATATTAATAGCAGTTTCTTGTTTATCTCCAGTTAGAACCCATATCTGAAGGCCAGCCTTGCGCAGATTTATGATGGTTTCTGGGACTCCATCCTGCAAACGATCTTCAATGCCAGTTGCACCTGGGACATAAGCAAAAGAAAACAGAAAATATGCTTCAAGCATATGGGTTAAAAAGAAAGACAAAATGCCAGTTGCACAAATGGAAATAAATCATTTAAAAGATCATATAATTGTCACTGTTACTTATTACAGACAAGGGAAATGATTTTTAGAGTTGATAAATATAATGTAATCAGAAACATCTCATGCTAATAATCACGATCTTGCAGAAAATGTGCTTTATAAGGCTTATAATGCAAAAGACATTAGATGAAAACTTTGGAAACATTGTCTGGTAACACAAGTGGTTTACAGTGGAATCAATCACCTCAAAAGAAATTTGTGTGTGTGTGTGTGTGGGGGGGAAAGACCACACTTGGAATACTGCATCCAGTTTTGGTCACCATGATGTAAAAAAGATGTTGAGACTCTAGAAAGAGTACAGAGAAGAGCAACAAAGATGATTAGGGACTGGAGGCTAAAACATATAAGGAACGGTTGCTAGAATTGGGTATGTCTAGTTTAACGAAGAGAAGGACAAGGGGGGACATGATAGCAGTATTCCAATATCTCAGGGTCTGCCATAAAGAAGAGGGAATTAAGCTATTTTCCAAATCACCTGAAGGCAGGACAAGAAGCAACGGGTGGAAACTCATCAAGGAGAGAAGCAACCTAGAACTAAGGAGAAACTTCCTGACAGTGAGAACAATTAATCAGTGGAACAGCTTGCCTCCAGAAGCAGTAAATGCTCCAACACTGGAATTTTTTAAGAAGAGACTGGACAGCCATTTGTCCGAAATGGTGTAGGGTTTCCTGCCAGAGCAGGGGGTTGGACTAGATGACCTCCAAGGTCCCTTCCAACTTTACTATTATTATTAATCAATTCCAACTTCTTGCAAAAAAAAAGATTTCACAAAGTTGGAATTAATTGATTGACCTCCCCCCCCCCCAAACTTCTTTTATTTCCCTGCATGTGGTGACGGAGGAGCGTGAAGAAGAAACAGGACGGAGCTGGAAGTCAGGCAAGAAGATACATGCAATTCCTGGGGGAAGTGAGAGCATCTGGGTGGTGCTGTGGCAAGCTCTCCAGCTCTGCAGTGGCAGAGAACTGTGACAGAGCTGCAAAGCAGGTGGAAAGATGCTGAAACAGGCCTGTCTCTGTTCTGCAGCTGCCCAGGCCCGCCGAAGGGAAGGCCGACATCTACCGGCACTTATGGTAAATGCGGTGGCATTCCAGCTCTGGCGGGGAAAGGGTAGCTGGCCTAGGTGCTGATGGCAGGAGGCCCACTCATTTCAGCACCCTCCCGTCCCAAGCCTCTGGCACTCCACCTGCCACTTTGGTCCTAGGCTGTCGCCTCCCCGCTCACCTCTCAGGTGGGCCCAGTCAGGCCAGGAAGGCAAAGGCCCCCTGCTCCGGCCGGAGGAGTGTTGGCCTGGCCAACTCCACCTCAGTTGCTGCCCAGCATGGCCACCCCAGGGCTGCAGGTGCTGGCCTAGCACAGGAATTGCTTTGGAAACAAACGAGAAAACCATTTTTTGCCCCACCCAACATTTTCTGGGTTTTTTTCCCAGGGTTTCCCATTTCCAGTTAGGGTTGGGGGGAGTGGGGGTGAGGTTTACTGTAGGCATGGGAGGCCTGGTTATGGCCTCACATGGGTCAGATGAAGGGGGGGATCTGCCAAGCCTCACGGCAGCAGCATTGGGCATGACATGCGATGTGGCAAACGGCTGTGGCCAGCTGAAACCGGCTGTGGAACAAGCTGGGCAGCGGTAAGAGACCGGTATACCATTGGCTAGTGGGGCATGTGGTTCAGATGGGGGGATCTGTCAAGCCTCATGGCAGTGGCATTGGCAGGCACAATGTGCGATGTGGCAAACGGTCAGCCAAAACTAGCTGTGGAAAAGACAGGTGGTAAAGGTATACCATAGGTTAGCAGGGCACGTTAGGTTAGCTTCACCTTGGCGCAGAGGCACTGGCAGCCTCTGTGCAGGCTCTTAAGTAGGGCTTACTTTGGGGGGAGGGCTTATATTAGGCCCAACCCTGAAAATCAAGCTGGGGCTTACTTTTGGGGGAGGCCTTACTTTCGGGGAAACTTGATAGTAAGTTCTCTTACCTTTATAAAGGCTGCTCTATGCTTAGTTAAATTAAGATGGTTTAATTTAGGCATCGGCATGGTTTCATTAATTCAGCTGAGTTCACATCAAAGTTACTATGTACTGTATTTCAAATGTCATTTTCTTTTTTATTTTTTCTTAAATGTTAGAAAGTTCTAATTGTTTGGTCCAACACAAGAACAGTAACAGCTCAACGAGAAATGATATTTTTGACTTTACTGAAATGGGAGAGGGTATGTAAGTGAATGATTAATGCCAAGATACCTAGCAGGTGAAGATTTGTCTCTATACGGCTGGCAGACTGGAACAGCAACTCTTCACGGTTTTCAATAGAAGATTCTGCTTCAATGTGACTTTTTAACCAGCAAGAATAATCCTCATTGCTCAGCACCTTTTGGAAAAATCAAAAGCAAAATGCAAATATTTACAGAATATATAGATCTTAATCCAATCCTAGTGTTCTGCTGTATTGTGACCATAAATCCAACCCCCAGTAAAAAAAAAAGTACCCAGAAATATACACTTCATGATTTTTTTCTGAATCAAATGCTTTCCGGATGTCTTGGATTTGATCTCCAAAAGTCCTTAAGCATTGGTCAAATCATCTGGGATGTTGGGCAACAGGGTGGGAAAGTTTACATTAGGAAGCGGGGTGAGCTTACTTTTTTTGCAATGCATAATGTCCTCAGACCATCAGCAGCATACAAGTTAAGAAACCTTTGAGTTTTGCTTCGGATTTTCTTTTGATGCCTGTTTCGGGCGTCATCTGGAAATAACCAAACAACAGTAAAAAATAGTACTAATCCAGTAGTTTTAACATTACTATTCTTTTCCCTTTGGTTTTCAGAATTGCTAACTCCTTCTATGAAGCCCTAGTTTTGTGATGTTCAAAAGAATTGTTTTAAGTACATGGCATAGCTTTTCTCTGAGATTTTCTATGACATTTTCACTATTTACCATTCATCTGCTCAGTAGAATTGGGAGAGCACTATATTTACCAGCCAGCTGGCCAGCCAGCCAGCCAGCCAAGTAGACAGACAAACAGACAGACAGAGGCTTACATACACTGTCAAAGCATAGACAGTGAAGATCTCATTAGTTGTGATTAATTGCAATAGCTGCCTTTTTGGAAATGTAATACTTATGTTGAGAGCCAGTTTAAAGACTCCAGGAGAGAAACTGAGAGACTGTGAGTTCTAGTCCTACCTTAGGAATAAAGCTAGCTGAATAATTTTGAGCCAGACACACTTTCTCAGCCCTAGGAAAGAGGAAATGGGAAACCACTTTTGAAATCTTGCCAAGAATAAAGAAAGAACCTATCCAGGTAATTGCTAGGAATCAGCCCTGACTTGATGGTACAGAAAAAAACAACCCTTAATTATGTTAGTTTCAATTTTTTAAAAAATATGGGTATTTTTTATCAAGCAAAAAAAATAAAAGCCATGTTAATAAACTTTTAAAAACACCATCTAGTATAACACTGAATAATGTAAAGGTCTATGCCAGCCAAAATATTAAATGTTGATATGATGAATGCATAGGGGGCCCAATAAATCTTTCAAAAACTCTTTCACGATAAGCTTTAATTATTGAATTGTTTTGCACCAGCAAAACTCTCATGGTCAGAAAAACAAGCATCCATTACACACAATACAAATAGCCTCATCAGAAAAGTTTACTTCAACTACATTTCTTAATCCTGTAACTTTCTTCTAGTTTGATTTCTAAAAGGCAAAAAAGGTTCATGCTTCTTTCTTTGACATTTCATTAAATACTGCATACAGAAAATCTTTGAAGTAATTTTCTCCAGCTTTTCCAGAAATATTAAAATAATTATGGCAAGATATTTGTGCTGAAACAAAATCTGTCAAAAATCTGAAGATTAAATTTTATGCAAACATACCATGCAAATGTGTCAAAGGAAACAATCCAATCTGACTACCAAATCTCAAAAGCCATTTTTATTTCAGTATCTTGTTTCATTAGCAGCACAAATGCCCACTGAATATATTTTATATTTTTAATATATTTTATTCATTAATAATAGTTTCAAATATTATTAATCATAACATTGCAAAAGATGTTATTATGTTTCCCATAGCGGCCTACAATTGTGAAAGCTGTAAAAACTAGGCAAGAGGAAAATCGGCTCATTCAAACTGTTAGAGAAGGCTCCTGAGCATTCCACGGACAGCAAAGATGACAAACAACCAAATACTGGAGCATATAAAACCAAATATATCACTGGAAGGCAAAATCACAAAATTCTGCGTAACTAATTTTAGCCACGTCATGTGATCAGATTCTCTAATAAAGGTAGTTATGCATGGAATGGCAGTAGTAGAAAAAAAAACCATACAAGATTGGAATATGTGAAGAGAATTGGTCCATAGAATTGTCCATGATCAAGTGAAGAGCTTCTACTCCTACTCCTCCTTTTTTCTTCTTTCGCAAATAGCCAAAAACTTCACAAATTAAAAAAACCCTTGATATCACAAGATCATTTTAAAACCAAAAAAGTGCATTTAAAACCACATATTAAAATAAGCAATAGTATGGTGTGTATATATGTGTGTGTATATATATATATATACAGAATATATGTGTATTCTGTCTCACAGTATGTTCGTATATCTTTGATGCACTTTTCAGATAAAAATGCACATTCTTGGTTCAGTTAGGTAACTATATGCTGTCAATAACTATATGCTGTCCTTTATGTTAACTGCCTAATTTGCCTCTCTTTTGTTTGTTGAACTTGTATCATTTTTATTCTATGTTTAACACATTTCAAGATTATAGACACTAGTCTTGATATTTGCCAAGTTTTTTTTAAAAAATCAATTTGAACAAAATTAATGTGAAGTGGATGTACTACAAAACAGGTGCAGACCTCTAGCAACATTTTTTTATTCACTGCTCCAAATTTGTAGAAAATAAATATGTTGCCCAACAATGGAAGAGTAGATTGTAAAAATGTTGGGACTTCTGGTTTGCCAACGCAGCCTACATGGATGTCTGGAAGGCAAGCTCCGTCTTCCGCGTCCAGTTTCGCTTCGCTGGGGGACCCTAGAAAGGGTCAAAAGTCGCCCTGTAGGGGTGACCAGCAAGGAGGGAACCCCCGCTTGATCATGGGAGGGCGGTAGCCCTCCCGCTTGATCTGGGGCAGTCC